AAAAACTGCTGAAATGGTCCCTCAAGAGTTCCCAAGAGTCAGATGACTGAATCCCCAGGGGAACATGCCAAAGCCACCTTCACTGGCCCTGGTCTTTAGAGGTACTTGAGTATCTTAATTTTCTCATCTGAGTGTAAAAAATTTCTCCTTAGAAATATTAGTATTATTTTGTATTACCACATTTTACCCCTCTCTCCCTCAGACATAATGTAAGCAAGGGGAAATATTCAAAACATAAGACTAGATCCACTATCCTAAATCTGCCATCAAGCTAGTAAACCTAAAATCTTCTATGTATACCTTCACTCTCTCCCCAAACCCCTTCTTTTAAGAGAACTGGTAACCCATTTCCAGCTATGGAAGTTTCCTTCCCTCCACACAAAAAACTAGAGTAGAAAACTGAATGATATCTTGACCACAGGCCTGGAGATGACTGACAGGCCCCTTCCTGGTGAGGCACAGAAAGCCAGCCAGCTCTTGATGGGGCCGACATCAGCACATCAATAACCAACAGTTGCTACCTGCTCTGCATGGTGCCTCCTCCCATTCTCATGAAAATAGAAGTGCCTTCTCTCCACGGGAAATTTTGATCTTCCACAATGATTTTCAATAGGCTTTAAAAAAATTTTTTTTTCCAAAACACAGTCCAAAAACAAAAACAGTCAAAAGTTAAGTAAATAAAGTTTTAAGGGAATGACTGGCTGACTTATCAGGGAGAGGGAAGAGGAGCAGAAGCTGAGGAAACAAGAAATTCAGAACCGCATGCCACAGGCTGCCACTAAAAGAAATAAGACATGTTACATGGGCAATCGTTCTGCCAGGGGCATGGGTGTTCCTGAGATCTCAATCTACACATCTCCTGAGAACCAAGGCCAGAGGTCAGCTCTTGTGCTATTAAATGGATGGTCATTTCAGAACCAGGAGAAATCAGGAGGTGGCCAAGAAGAAAGTCCAAGAGCCCAAGAGAAGGTGTCCACAAGATGCACTTTCCTGTAGCACTGTCCTCCCATTGTTCATTGATTTGCTTGAGTGGGCATCAGTAATATCTCTATTGTGGGATTTATTGTTACTGGTTTGGGCATATTGAACACACCACAGGGAGCTTGCCAGGCTCTGCTGTGCAGGCAGGATACTCTCAGTAGCTTGCTGGGCTCTCCAAGAGGGGCAGAGGAATCAAACCTGGGTCTGCACGTGCAAGTCAAATGCCCTACCCACTGTGCTATTGCTCCAGCCCCCAATCCACAAGATGAGGGCTGGACAAACCGGTAAATCAGAGTCCTGAGACACTCCCAATACCACATGTGACATGGCTTGTCATCATCATTTTTGGCTGACATGATCCTGGCACCAACATACTAGAGCTATGTCTGACTATGTCTGTGTCCATCTCCAGGCTCATGTGCAGTGGTGCTGAGAGAAGTGCCAAAGCTTCATTCAGGAAGGAATTAACTGAAAGTGCCTTCAAGAACACTAAGGATATTCTTCTAGCCTTAATATCATTAGAGGACCATGTACCCAGTGAATAAGACACAAATTCTAAAGGCTGGAAGATAGTACAGATGAGCATATTTGCCTTGCATGCTCCTGACCTGGGTTTGATCCCTGTCTCCTTATGTGATCTCTGAGCCCTGCCAGGAGTGATTCCTGAGCAGAGGGCTAGGAGTAAGGCCTGAGTATCACTACATGTGGCCAAAAATTAAATTATTAAACATTTATGTATTCCAATAAACCTATAGGACTCCCAATTGTGCTCAGGGATCACTTCTGGCTCTGTGTTCAGGAATTATACCTGGTTCTGTACTTAGAAAACACTCAAGGGACCATATGTATATGGGATGCCAGTGATCAAACCCCAGTTGGCAGCATGCAAGGCAAGGACCCTGCTGTGTATACTCTCTCTCTGGCCCCTGATTCGATTTTCAAAAATGTTGTTTCCATTCTACATCTACTCTTGGCATCTCTGAACTATTTCTCCTCAGGGCAATGAGAATACCCACAACATAATAAGGGAAGAGTCCATGTACAAAACTGTACAAAGATTAACCTTGCAAGATGTCTTGCTACAAGTAATTACATTATATAAGACAGGTATTCTAATAGCAAAAGATTGTCATTCATGGAACAGTTTGGCACTTTGCGGGTGGTACAGATGTGTCTTTAAATAACTTTGTGAAATGATTTCCTGAAGATAAAAAGCAACCCAATGTGACGCCGATCCTGTTAGTAAGACTGACTGCACTTAATGTAGGTCAGATCTGAAACCACCAACAAGGCTGCAGGCGATGGTCTGTCAAGAATGAGAAATTATTTTTGCATTTTTTAAAAAAGGATAAACTACATTTAGAAAATTAAAATGCTAATCCTATAATTAATATGATGTTTGTTCAGTTATGTGCAGTCTTTCACCAGACCTTTAAGTACTAACCATTTTTTTCATCATATTATCAGACTACAGAGAATAATGGTATGCTGATAAAATGCTCAGTGGAATTTAGTGTTCATTTATCTGTCCTTCACTGGCCTCCAGTTTCCTCATTTTTTTTTTGTTTCTCAATAGTTTAATTACATGTGAAAAGACTCCCAATAACACACTCGTGTTATAGCATATTAGAATTAAATGAGGGGAAAATCTTTTCATTATGTGGTTTTATTATTATCCATTTGTAAGTTTATTTGACAATACAGATTCAAGCTGCTGTATGTGCTCTTAACTTCCAAATATTTTATATCCCAGAGCTCCATTCAAGAAGCTACCTAATTAAATGAAAAGAATAACTTCTTTTACTAATCGGAATAGTGAATTTTCAACAGTTCTATTTTCCTCTATTGTGATACTACCTTATACAAAAGCTATACTTTCCTTTGTCAATAAACAGCTTTTTACTATTCCAGTATCCAGTCTGATATTTGTATTAACAAAATTAAAACTAAATGAAAATTATTTGGGTAATCTATTATATACAAAGTCAACTGCTCTAGATGAAAACAAAACTCAATCTAGCTAACGATGTAGGAAGTATTTTCACTTTATTAAAACACACACATGCTTACCAGTCAAATTCAAAGAAAATTCAGCTACAAGTATATTTCAACCATCATTTTTTTAAACCATAAACCAAAATCCTATTCTGAGTAAGATTACAGGAGGAACTAAGTCTTAAAAGAGGAACATCACAAAATTTCTTTGATACTGGAAATAGTCCATCCCTGTTCTGAAATAGTTTTGCCCTTATGACTCTGCTCCCAAGGTAGACTTTTCTGGCATAAGTAAATTTAGCTTTATTTCTGGAACAAGTAGTCTTTCTTCATAAGTGTCAAGCTGAGCTGGGCTGATTTAGCTTCCTGTCTTCTTGATACCAGCCTTAGCAAGTTTCAAAATATATGGCCATCCAAAGCAAGCTGTATTGCAAGCTCTTCTCATTTGTTTTCAGTTATCAAAAAGTTATGGGAATTCTGTGAAGCCAGGGTTCTTTAAGTAAGATTAAGTCAAGGTCAGAATTCACGGGCGAACAGAACTGTTTTTTACGTAGAACATGTGCTTATTTCTAATCAAGGAATTAGGCAGGAAAATGGAAGTTAGAAAGTTTTCACAGAAACTGAAAATAAATGTACTCTATGGTCTCTGAGCAAGAAATTAATAGAACAAATAGACTCAGAGCCTCCAAGTTAACTGTATTTCTGAAATAGTTTAAATATGCTCTTTTAGCAAGGAGAGTCCAATTTGGGCTGATAACATCTACTCCTGAAGAGGCTAATATTAAAGTCAATACTAATCAAATGCTCTGACTTCATGTGTATTTTAAGTTTTCCTTCAACATGACGATTATTTATGGCTGTGTCTAGGTTTTATGTCTGCCTCTGTATATTCACGTGATGCCAAGTTCTTTTTAACAAAGGCTCTCACCAATGTCAGTCATGATATTCTGTGGTGCAGATTTTTTCCCTGAGCTTAGACTTTAGATAGGACAGCCTATAATACACAAGAAATTGTGGACCGTGATAGATTACAGTATAAGTTATTTCTCTTTCCCTGAGGAAGTATTACCAACCAAAAGCAGAGGCCAAAAGATGGTCCCTTTTAATTACAAGTATGTTCACATAATAGCCATGTGAGGGTGATACTGGTTTAGGACTCAATTTGAGGCTAAGATAATGGTCATGATCCAGAGAAGCGCTTTGGCAATTTTCATTCATTTTCGAAATCTTGTGATACACAAGAAGTATTGAATCTACTCATGGGGTTGGGGGTGGAATCGACCCGGCTCCCCGCCATGACAATGCCCCGGGTTGCCACCCACAAATGCCTCCTCCGGCTCCTGAACGACGATGATCCCAGAGGTACACAGACCAATCTCAGAACCCAGGGGCTTTTGGCAGTAATCCCTCTTAGGCTTATTACTAAAATATCAGAAATCCAAATTTGCATGACCACTACTATAGCTACACGACATCATATGTTCTTCATAATCAGCAATAGAAAACAAATTATCTAATGATGTTTTTTTGGCAGGTCTGAATGTTGGAGAAATTCCAAATAATAATGTTGGGTCTTTTGTTGTAATATTTAATGTGATCAACGTAGAGAGAGAAAGAATAAAATGGAAATCTGTCACATAGGTGGGGGTTGATGGCGGGGGGTATACTAGGGTTCTTGGTGGTGGAAAATGTGCACTAGTGAAGGGACGGGTTTTTGATCATTGTGTGACCAACAGAGACTTAAACTTAAACTGAAAGGCTTTGTGACTGTTCTCACGGTGATTCAATTTTAAAAAAAGTATTCAATCTAAAGAGGTACTACTGTGTAAAATTAACAACTGGTGCCAAACATCATAGTGTACTTTATTTAATTTTTTGAATATTGAAAGCAAAAAAACTCTAAAATAGTTTTTTCCAAATTAAATTCTAACAGAATTATTTAAACCTAGCCTGCTCAAGCAAGTCAATGAACAATGTGAGGACAGTGCTACAGATTACATGTTTAAAATGTTTTGCATCATTCTGTGCTCACTTGGCAGTACACAGACTAAAACTGAAACAATAAAAATATCAGTATGGCCCCTACTCAAGGGTGATATGGAAATTCACAAAGCATTACATATTTTTAAAAATTAAAATAGCAAAATGTTTATTCTGATTATGTATCTGCTTTTCAGAGATTCATTGCTTACTGACATGAGTTAAAGACAGAACCCAATACATGTTAATTAACAAAAGCTAATATGAATTGTGTGTACATTAAATTATTTCTTATGTGCATCAATTGTGATTTTAAACATCACCATAAAGTATTATTTAGTTTTTCTAGTGTTGTTTCTCCTTTAACACTTATCCAACTACTAGTTATGAAACACCCACTCTTAGTAGCCATATTCTAGCTAATATTCCCCTTCGTGGGCACAATTGGCTTTGAAAAGTAGAAATCTTAAAACTATCTGATAAACATAATTAGTTCTTGAGGTTATAGTGAAGTAGAATGGGGGTATGGTGCCGCCAGCAGGTCAATCTGTACCTGTGAGATGAGTGCATCAGCAGCCTGATGGCAACATCAGACTTTCAGATACCCCAAAATTGCAGCTGTGCCTTTGGCCAGACCCCAAAAACTCAGGGCAAGGTTTACTAAGAAAGTAAACAGCCAAAAATTCAGTATATGGGAGACACACCCACAAACCACCTCTGGCTCAGCTATATAATTGGAGGCATGTCCTCTCTGGTTCCTGATCGAACTGCTAAATGGCCATGATCCCAGAGACTCAGAAGCAAATCTAGGAACCCAACGACTTTTGGCAGAAATGTGTCCTGTTCCTGCAGTAGGTTACTGGCGCTGGGCCACTCCAGGTGGAAAAGGTTTTGTGCCTTGGTCTGTTCCCCCTGGTGGCCTGGTGACCACCATCCTCCAGAGGCCACTGGACAGTCATGTTTGGGCCTGCAGTGACGAGACACACGGGGCCTCACCACATGGGGGTGGAAACGACCCTTTCCTCCCCATCCCAGCAAGACCCTGAGTCGCCTCCTACAAATGGCCTCTCTGGCCCCTGATCAAGCTGATTAATGGCCATGACACCGGAGATTCAGAAACAAATCTTGAAACCCAGAAGCTTTTGGCAGAAGTGCATCTGGAATGAATACAAGGTGGCCACTGTCTCAGAGCTTATTGGAAAGCCAGCAATGAGCCGGCGGTGACGGGGCAACTGCAGTCTCATGGGAAGGGGGGGCGGTACCGGCTCGTTCTTTATGCTCTACCGAGGTCATGAGTTGCCCCCCCACAAGCAGCTCTCTGGCACCCCCATGGCTCCAGAGGCAAAAGGACTTAGTCCAGAACCCGGCAGCTTGAGGCAGAAAAGTGAATGGACCATGTGTTAAACTACGGCGCCATGTCTCCCCGGGAGGGAAAGGGTGCTGCTCCCTTCCGCCTTTTTTTCCCCTGGCAGCAAGGTGGCCGCCGCCTCAGAGCTTATAGGAAAGCCAGGTACAAGCCGGCAGTGACGGGGCAACTGCAGTCTCATGGGAAGGAGGGCGGTACCAGCACGTCCTTCACGCCCTACCGAGGTCACGAGTTACCCCCCACGAGCGGCTCTCTGGCACGGCCATAACACCAGACACACAGAAACCAATCTCGTAATTATCTGGCTCTTTGCAGAAATCCAAAATCGTGGCCACGTGACATTATATGATTCTCATAACCAGCTATAGAAAACAAAATATTTCACAATGCTTTTCAGAAATTCTGAATGTTTGGGGGGAAATTCTAAGCTATAATGGTGCATCTTTTGTCAAAATAATGAATGTAATCAATGTAGAGAAGAGTTAAGTAGAAATCATCTACCTCACAGGCATTTGGAGGGGTGGGGATGGGGGTATACTGGGGTTCTTGATGGTGAAAAATGAGCACTGGTGAAGGGAAAGGTGTTTGATCATTGTATGACTGAGACTTAAACCTGAAAGCTTAGTAACTTTTCCCACAGTGATTCAATAAATAAATATAAAAAGAAAAAAATAAATAAAATTAAAAAAAATAAAGGTGGAGTTCATGCCCAATTAAATCAGCTAATCAGTGGCTGAACAAATAGCAGTACTCCTACAAAAAAAATGAAAAAAATAAAGTGAAGTAGATATATTCATAAACTTCTAGTTCCAACACTTCTGTAAGCAGGGGACCCAACTACACCAATTAAACTTAAAAAACTGCAACTGTCAAGAAGTCAGATGTGGGGTAGGTAAAAGGGAATCTAGGGTGTTAGGGCGCGGATCGTGATCTCCCTTTAATGACAAAGAGACTCCAGAGACTGCAAACAGCAAGCAAGGTTTATTGTAAGACTGGCTAGCCAGGGTCAAGCTGCCTACACAGACCCGCCTACGCAGGTCGGTTAGGTGAGGCAAGACCCCGAACTTCTATAAAGGGGATCTTATATAGGCCTTCACTGGCCGTTACAGCAAAGCCCGCGCATTTCATAGCCAATAGATTTGTAACAATATATGCTTTCTTAACCAATCCAATTAAGGGTACATCACTTCTTAGCCTATAGTTTAAAGATCAGCATTTTGCGTCGGTGCTTAGGAACTGACAGGTTTTTAAGGCAGTCCTGGGTCTTGCAACATGGGTCTTGTGAGAGACATCCGGTTATCTGGTCTGACCCCCACCCTTTGAGTACCTGTATCTGAATTCCTTGCTCAGGGGCAGAAAAACCAGTTATTTTGCAGTGCAGGATCCTATAAAGTGGATCTGAAAAAGCTTATCTAGACCTGTTCCTTGAAAAACAAGTTATTTTGCAATGCAGGTTCCTATTAAGATAAGCTAAATTAATTCTGGTGGTAGTCCATTTTGGGCCTATCCCTTACATAGGGTAGGCGGCAGAAGGTTGGAGACACAGGGAGATGGGCCTGGTGTGGGAACATTGTATACCTGAAAATCCATTAAGAACAACTACCTAAGCCACAGTGCCTACATACATTTTTAATTAAAAACTAAAAAATAAGTGAATAACAAACTATAATTAAAATTTATACAAATTTGCATTATTCCCATTCATCCAGTTCCCATGAGCCTCTTCATTTTCATGCTCTGAAGAGATTTTAACAAAGGAAAAATCGTCCACCACTGCTTTGTAATATGAGTCCTTTAGCACTCGTCTCTACATGAGTCCAGATGTTCTCATCCATCCTGACCAGAATGCAGCTTCAAGTGCTCCAAAGCATGCTGAAAATACCCAAAACCTTAGGTTTAGACCCATATATCCAATTACCTCCTGTTACTCAACAGAAATCTCACCCTACCTGGTCTAAAACTGAACCATCATTTGCACAGCACACCTAATCACCTCTAAGAGAGCTTATCACGCAGAACAGAGCTTATCACACAGAACTTCTTCTTTGTTCTCTCTTCAGCATGTACTCAGATACCATGTTTTCATTATTGCTAAGAGGGACTTTAAATAGAAAAGCTGCTATGATGGATTCATCACTTTTAAGCTCTAGAAGTATGTAATACATGTAACCTCTATTTTAGAAACAATGAACTATAGAAGAGGATATGTGCAATTTAAAATCAAAACCATGAGGAACTGGTTTAAAGTACTAGAGCACATGCTTTGCATGCAGGAACCTTGGGTTTGATCCGAGCACTGCATGGTTCCCCCAGCACTTCCAGGAGTTGTCCCATCCCCAGGCAATGAGTTGGGAATGGGAAAAATATACTTTTCAAACAAGGATATTTTATATTTCTTCTCCTTTGTCCTCCAGGAGAATCATGTCTTCATGTCCATATATATTTATTTAACATAGAGATAAGTACAGTTCTCTTTTATTTCAGAATATTTTGCTATTTCCCAATGTTACTAGTTAAATGTAGATTAACCTTGAATGATTGATCTATTGAGGAAGGATATGGGTGAGAACTCAAATAATATCCCTACAATCAAAATCATGTGTAAAGATTCAATATATTTAGAAAATTCCATAATGCTAGATATTGAGAACTCACAAGATCAGACATCCAAGAAAGAATTTAGCAGATGACTGAGTAGGGAGAAATCTGAGATCTGAAAATACTCTCTTGACAACACAGCAAAAAAAAAAAATCACGCCATAAACTGAATTTGATAGAGACTACTCTGTGGGGGTCCACTAAAAAAGTGAACTGGAGAATCCAGTCATCATATCAAGAAGACGAACCCTGCTGTGGAACAAGGAGCAGCAGCAGGAACTTAAAAGCGAAGGAGCATGACTCCACCAAGGGAGAGGACAGTGAAGAGCAGAGACTTCTACCGCAGTGAATTTTGACCTGAAAAAGGAAGCATTAGATAAAAATCTGCATCCCAACCTTGAAATCCTACTCATACAAAACCTAATCAGGAGCAATAGTGGGCCCAAAATTAAGGGACAGAATTTGTGGCTGGTTACACATTGAGGTCTCTTGAAAGCTGGCTGGGAGTCACCATCTTCTCCAAACAAAACACAGATTAAGGACATATTCACCATTCCAAGTTCAGGGTTCAAAATCTTTAAAGACATCTGCTTGTCCCACAGTACCAGAGCCAGTTCCTCCCAATCCACATCTGACTAATAACAGGCAAAAAAAAAAAATACCCACAAAATTAGAGATATTGATTTCAAAAACGAAAAACTCACACAGCAGACATCTCATTGTCTGCTGGGCTCATGTTTAGCCAATTATGAACATTTTAAAATTTGATTGGTGTCAGGCTAAGTAAAATTCAGGCTTCAAAACATTGTCATTGGGCCACAGGATGCTTTCCTAGGTGGCCTGAGCCAGAAAATAGTTTTTCCAGACAATAGCAACTAGACTGGTAGTTAGATAGGTCTATTGGTGCTAGAGTTGCTAGTAGGTACTTATGACTATAAGACTCCATTTGCAGAGTAGACCTATTGGACATCAACACTGTGGACACCATTTCTGGGCATCAGCACCTGCAAAACATGAGGCATAGCACTGGTCAACCAGTCCTTGGGGCTGTAATTCCTGCAGCAAGTCACTAATTACCTGAAGTGGTCCAGAAAACCACACACTTAGAGCCATAGTCTATAGCTAGAATTAGGCATAAACCACATATTGCTACCTAGGGTGCATAAAACTAGGCCCACCCCCT